ATACATAAACCCATTGAAAAGGTTTGTCTTTTGACATATATTAAAATGAATGCAATTTATACTACCATGAGGATATTAGTATAATATTAATTATGAATCATGATAGAAGTAAAGGAAACATATCGGAAGAGGTTCTATTATCCATTCTCTTATTTTCCTTCGAGGGGAGAATCATAATTTAACTTGCTGGTGAAGTGAGTGTAGATCATGATAGTGATGATTAGGTAACCTTAGTGGTGATAACAAATATTAGTGCACATAAAATAATTAGTCTTCATGGACCAAAGCCTTCATGTAGCAGGCCTCGAGAGTCTGATTAGCTAGATTTTTTGGATGACACGACTCTCATTAAAGTGCCCACTTACCTTTTTTTGTTGATGTGTCAACTGTCTTACACTAACTACTGAGCTGACTTGTAGGACTGACTTAGCAAACTGGCTTGTTGATATAGTTTGTCTACTCCTTTCTATTAAACTGAACAATCAGATTCACTAGTCTAGCTCGCCTCTTTAGCAACCCCCAGGACTATCATAATGCATAAGTCAATACCGATGGGCATATGCCACATCTTCATTTATGAGTCGCCTGACATATAAGTCATGATCTTTTCTTCGAGACAATGTGGATAAAATTTGTAAAACATAGCTTGTATTTTAATATTTTCTCAAACATGTATAACCTAGGGGAGGAAAGAACCTAGGGAAGATCAACTCTCCAGGTCTTTTTATGGGGGATCCTACGTTGTGGCTATCATGAAATCTCTCCTGCCCCTGTCTTCCCATCAATTTCTCTGCTCCATCGGAGAAACAAAAAATAGAACACATAATTCAGGTTAGTAGAACATATCCATTCTCTTCCTCCATCTTAAGTTGTGTGAACTCACAAATAATGCGTGACCTGACATCTTAAAAGGATTAAACATTCTTAAATATGTGGTGAGCATAGAGTTCATACTCAAACTTTACATGGAGACATTTTAGCACAAGAAGAAACATGGAAGTATAATGGATTATACCTTAGATTTTGCAAAACAATAAATAAATAATCTAAATGAACAAATAACAAAAGATATACAAGAAGCAAAAGAAGAGACCTCCCGATCCAAACCTCATCTTGAGATCATCAGGATTGGTGGTTCGCAAATGAGATGCATTAATGTAATATCTTCAAAGAACAGGACCTAAAATGGCTCTTGGACTAAGGTTAGAAGAAGAAGAAGAAGAACAGGAAGAAGAAGAAGAAAGAATAAGAGAGGGACCAATCTTACGTCCTGGAGAGGGAATCTTTTGAATCATTTGATGAAGGAGCCAGAAGAAGAAGAAGGTAAAAACCTTTAGATAATGCATTATCAAGGGAGATAGCGGAAGCTGAGGCACCAAAGAATTTAAGATCTATATTTGAAATCTTTGAAAGGAAATAAATTTTGAAGACCACGTAACTTCTTTCGAGTCAGCTGTATGTTTATTAAGAGTAGATGATGTTCTCAAATATTATTTATTCTTTATGATGTTGAGGGAGTTAGCTCTATGCTGGTTTAATAACTTACCTTTAGGAGCAATCACTTCCTTCGAAGAACTCAAGCAGATTTTTGTGGCATATTGCAAGTACACAACAGTTGTTGAAGAACTTTTAGGCTCTTTTGAAGATCTGTTAGGAGGCTTTAGAAAGCCTCATAATCTTCATCACACCCTTCCAATGAGAGATGTTGAATGTTTGAGATCTGAAGCTCCTTTTCACTCATGCAACCCCGACATAAGGCATGCTTGAAGGAGCATTAAGATGCACAATTGAATGGTAGAAGCTAAGAACCTTAGCTGAGATTTTGGAGCTATTTAACAAGTCATGCCCAATGTTTCCTTTTTAAGGTGAAGCTCCCCCAATGTCAAGAAAAATACTCTAATTATGAATTCTACTTACAGGCACACCTGCACTCATGAGCGGCACGGGTGGACTGCTTCTTGGCTAATCAGGTGCGAGTGTGCTATGCAAGTGGAGTGGGTGTGTTAATATCTAGGTGAGTGCGAAACACGGGGCATAGGGATTACAGTGCAAGTGTGTTGGTGTGGGAATGAGTATGCCCTGATTACAACACTCCTATGCAGTGCACTCTGCCTCACACAACAGACGAGTTTAGATATGGCGCATGTGCGCTCCATTGAGAAAGTAGAGTGTGGGTGCATCTCAATGTAGACATGGGTGTGCTCTTTTATGATGGCTAGGCGCAGGTGCGCCTGATTGATTTTTCACAGTTTTATCCTATTTTTTCTCTAAACCTTATAACCAACATAATAACACAAAAAATATATTCCTCAAGTGTCAAAATATCATGAAATATGCAATAAATAAAGATTTACATACACAAATAGTGCACATATTTTATCCACAAAAAATCAAGGCTCGAGTGGTCACCAACTTTATAGCTAATTTTTTTGAATGTTTGGAAAGTGAAGAAGTTGGTGTTGGTGGGATAAACTCTTGATACTCTATTTACATGGGGCATCTAGAAATTAAAGAAATATGCATATGAAGTCCCTGCGGATTCACATTTTACCACTCCATTTAAATGACTTTGATGCAAACAACAATCAAGCAGAGTATGCGCTCTGGTCACTGGATTGAATTTTTCACAGGGAATTAGAGTGATACATCTCCTCTTGAAATCTACCTCTTAGTATGTGGTTAATCAAATTAATAGATTCTTCGAGGCGCAAGATGATATTGTGTAAATATCTTATGAAAGCTAAAGCCTAAGTCGACAAACTTAAATATTTCCAGATTAAACATATTCTGTGAGAGGAAAAATAATTCACTGACCTCCTTTTAAGAGAGAAAATATTAAAAGGAGATAATTTGTGACCTTAGATTAGCCTATCATTAAAAAAGCTCAAATTATGAATGTCGTGACTTTTCTTAAGGAGTTTGTGCCCTTCCCTCGAGTAGCACGTAGGTCAAATCCGCCATCTAACCCACCATTTGATCTCAAAATTCTTGAATTTATTTCTGCACAAATCCTTATATATTCTCCACATTTGAGGTGTCTTTCAAATGAGTTCCTTCTTTGCGATGTGCTCTTCTTTTTGTTGATGACATGATCCACACTCACTGCATCTTTTAAGATGTTGAATTTAAATATGTCATGTGGATCACACTCAAGGTATGGAGCATTAAACAGATGAGAGAAACAGAGAGAGTGATTGAGATAGGATTAAGAGCATAGTAATACAAGTTCTGTGAGAAAAAATTCAGTACTCCTTTATCGAAAAAAATGACCTCCTTATTTATAAGTATCAGAAGTATTTAGTAAAATTACATGTTTATCTCTTCTTTAATAAGGATTTTACAAGTTATTACTGTATATTTTCATATGTGTAACAGACTCTGGAACTCTTTCATATTCATAACTGACATTGAAGCTATTTCATACATAACTGCTTGAAGAGGGGCATTTAATGATCTGTTATTCTTGTCATTCAGTCGAGCGCAAGCCTTTGATCATCTGACATACCTTCGGTTGGCTGAGAGTTTATCAACCGTCTCTCTCAATGGAATCCATATTAGAGGTCATCCCGTCAATAGGGTGAATTTGGACAATCTGGCCGAGGTTGTATCACTGTAATTTGATAGGCAAATCTCCTTGACAAGAATCCTTCTTAGAGGATTAAAAAGGTGCTTCGCGGGGCACCCTTTGGCCATCATTGTGAAGAGTTCAGGAATCGACTGAGGAAGCTAGTCATGATCGACCGTTCCTTGAATTAGGCGCCTTTAATTCATCTGTTCGATTGTGTTTTCGTTTGGTTGGCTCAGGGTTCTGGCTGAAGGAAGCACACTTGACATTTCCTTCTTTTGACTATCTCGATACACTTTCCTTTGGTGTTCATAAGCGAGGCCCATCAACTTTCCTCGAGATTCATGAGGTCATATTTTTTATGTACATGATGAGATTGGTGTCAATTACTTGTCCCAACGTGTAGACTTGCACGTTGCTCATCATGGCTTACCCTTTCCCCCATTGGAGTTCATTGCCTTTAATGGAACCATCAACCATAAGATTTCTTTGCTTCAGTAGAGATTATCCGCTTCATCTGCATGAGGTTTGATTACTTTATCTACGAGAGGCTCGTCGTTGACCATTTCTTTGATGGCTTTCATTAATGATAAACACCTCACTCAATTTTTATTGTTTTCTTCAATTAGATATCACAATACTATTCCCTCTCATTTCACTATTTGATCTTGTTAGACTCCTCCAATTTTGCTACATGGGCTACATTATGTTTAATGTGATTGAATTCTATGACAGTTGAACACCGATTTAAATCTAATTTGTTGCTATTCATTTTTTTTAATACATTTAAGGACTATTTTGATCCACAAAATATTTAAAAATTATTTATAAAAATATAAATATATCTTGATATTCATTTAAAATTATGAAGATATATTTCTTAAATAAGAATATCAAAAAAAAAAAAAATACAATTCAAACTTAATGACTTTAAAAGATAAAACTTTTTTTGTAGGTCTAAAAAATCCTTCCATTAACAGAATTATTTTCAATTACATTTTTAATAATAATAAAATAATTATAATATTTAAATCTAAAACTTCAGAAAATAAATAAAAATTTAAATATAATTTTAGATGAAATACTGATCCAACATCAACCCTATCAACCCTATCAACCCTATCAATTTTTTTTAATGAGAATATAATAACAGCAAAACCATCCCCCTATTAATTCCCGCATTTAAGGTTTCGATCACGGTGTCCATATCCTGACCCGTAACGTACATCAAGCCCGTTCGCTTGGTTATGTGCGGTGGGAAGAGAACAGCTAGCGACGCATCTCCGCGTCGGTGAAATGACACGTGGTAATACAGATTGCTCTGCCCGTTTCCGTGCCTTCGTGCTTCCGTCACCTTCAAAGGCTGGACGATATGCGGTAAGGTTACCGCGCGTCATTGCACCACGGTTGAAGTTATATATAACGTCATCTCCCTGTATTTCTCACTGCCTGCATCGTCTCCAAACCGAATTGTTTGCCGGTATCGGATCCGATACTCAGAGCGCGTGAGAAGGAAAACCTAAACGTCTCCGATCCACTCTATGTTTCTTCCCTGGTAAAGCCTACCTGGAATGATAGAACCGTGAATTCTCGCTGGATTGCAGTTCTAAAATGTCACTTCTTACTGCAGGTTATTTGAGATCGAGGAGGAATTTGCGTTTCTTCACCGGCTTTTGACATCTGAATGGCGGAATCGCGGAGGTTTACAGTAGGCTACGCTCTAGCTCTTAAGAAGAAACAGAGCTTCATCCAGCCTTCGCTCGTGAAGCTCGCCAGTGAACGCGGGATCGATCTCGTTCCCATCGACACCGATCAACCTCTCGCACTGCAGGGGCCGTTTGATTGTGTGCTTCATAAGTTTTATGGCGATGATTGGAAGGCACAGCTTAAAGATTACGCTGCCAAGAATCCCTCCCTCCCTATCATTGACCAGCCAGACGCCATCGAGCGGCTTCACAATCGCATCTCGATGCTCCAAGTCGTTTCTGAGCTCAAGATTCCTCAAGATAAGGAAACTTTTGGGATTCCCAGCCAGATCGTTGTTTACGACTCGATTGCTCTTTCCGATTATAGTGCTGTCGGTGCCCTCAGATTCCCTGTCATCGCAAAGCCTCTCGTGGCCGATGGCAGCGCCAAATCACATAAGATGTCTCTGGTTTACAACCGCGCTGGACTTCTGAAATTGAAACCGCCTCTCGTTCTGCAAGAGTTTGTAAACCACGGCGGAGTCATTTTTAAGGTCTACGTGGTTGGAGACTATGTCAAATGCGTGAAGCGGAAGTCTCTTCCGGATGTGTCCTTGGATAATTTGGATAGCACTGAGAGTTTGCTGTCCTTTTCTCAGGTATCAAACATGACGAAACAGAACAGGAGCAGTGAGGAGTATTATGAGAGCTTGCAACTGGAGGCTGAAATGCCACCGCTGAACTTGCTGACAGATATTGCGAGAGGATTGAGACAGGCGATGAGATTGCATCTTTTCAACTTTGACGTCATAAGAGATTCTAAGGCTGGGAACCATTACTACGTGATTGACATTAACTACTTCCCTGGCTATGCAAAGATGCCATCCTATGAGACTGTCTTGACTGATTTCTTTTGCAACATTGTTCAAAAGAAGTCGGTAGAAGAAGATGGTACGGATTCAACTGTTGAAGGCAAGGGAAAAGAGATGAAGCTTCTAACTAGCAACAATTGTGGCGGTAATACGGATGTTGAGAACGAAGGAGAAAGCCCGAGGAAAGTCTCAGGCTTCTGATATCCCTTTTTTCCTTGCGAGTCCGAAGGGTATATTTTGCAATACTTTGAAAGAGAAGGTAGGAGCATCTAGTTTAGTTGGGTTTTGACTTTTTCTTTTTTTGATGGGCACATTTGTCGTTAAGCAGAGTGTACATTCTTCACCATGCTGATGATAGGTATTTTTTTCTCCCTAATTTTGGAATACTAAACATTTTATTAATGCTAGGTGGTTTAAGTTTGAAATAATTGTACTGCTTCAGGTTTTCTGATACCTGAAACATGACATTTCTAGAGCACAATTTTTTTTTTTTGTTACCATTTCCTTTATGATTTATCGACTATTTTCATTTGAGGATTCAAATATAATTGACAATTTTTTTTCTATTGCTGCTTTGACATGTGTTAACATTTATGGGTGGAGATTCATTCCTTGGAAGCTTTCCAATAGATGCCTTGATCTTGAACTACTAATGTGTCTTCTCATCTATTGAAAATTTACTGGCAATTTAACCGTATCCTTTAAATCACTCAATTTTTTGCCAATAAATTGTGCTTCGCATTCTTGTTTGTAAATTTATAACTGCTGTGTTCTAATTTTGCTTTTCCTATTTTTTTCTTCTCTACATCTTTGTACTTGGTTCTTAGGTCTCTTTGTATTTAGACAGAAGTAATGACTGGAATCAATTTTTTAGCCTGATTTTTGAGAAGAAAGAGATTGTTGGAGAATAATTCATAAGACTGATCCCAATATTTGAGTTAGGAGGATAAATTAAGAACCAGTTGTATTTAAGAGGCTGTAGGATAAACTAAAGACATGGTTACTGAAAATAAAGAGAAGATTTACCGATTTTGCAATCTATAATGAAGAGGAAAAGATGCATTGATAGTATTGGTTTTAAGGTATGTGAAGGAAAAGGGTTGAAGAAATGTAATTTGACTAGAAATTGTGCTAGAATATTTGAATAAACATGGTCAAACTCTAGGCTCATTTATCTTATGTCAATCATTAAGGATAGTGATACGGATGATTAATTGGGGGATGTTTTTTTTCATTGCAAAAAAGATACAAAGTTACAACAACAACAACAACAACAACAAAGCCTTAATCCCACTTCGTGGGGTCGGTTACATTAATCCTTTTTCTCCATTGCATCCATTAAGTGTCATTTTTTCATTTAGTTCTAGTAAATTAAGATCATTTTTAATACAATAAGCCCAAGTCTTCCTAGGTCTACCTCTGCCTTTCTTAACACAAGTCGAATCTAAAACATCTACTCTCCTAATTGGATCATCTGATGACCGACATTTAATGTGACCAAACCATCTAAGACGACTTTCTCTAAAAAAGATACAAAGTTAATAAATGCATATTTAATTTTTTTTTTTTGTGCTTTGTTAAAAAATGGTGAATCACTTTAATGACTTTACCATAACTATATTTTTTATTGCAGAGCAATGGCAGTGAATTTGTTTGTTTTGGCATACATTTTGTTTACCAGAAGTAGTACTTTAAATCAAATGGGCCTTTAGTGGTTGTCTGGAAGGGTATGGATGAAAGACATTTACACATTGTGTCTGCTCTACAATATTTTTTTGGCCAATTTGGAACTTAGTTCTGATGCTTCATTCCAAAATGAATTATTGTGGTCGCATTACTATTTGTTGCACATTGCCAATCCATTATAACATATTTTGATGTGGACATCTCAAACACTTGCTGTAGGATTGATTGAATTTGGGGTATGAATAATTGTGAACTTGTGCATTCTGCTTTATTCTTCTTTCAAGCCTCTTTCAGAAGATTTTACATTTATTATTATTTTTTTAGAAATTCTGTCCTGATATTTGTTCATTGACTTCATTCTCTCTCTCTCTCTCACACACTCACCCACACGCACGCACACACTATGCTTATGTATGTGTGTATTTTGGTGCATTATTGTTCTATTTAATTTTTTTTTATTAGCCTCTTTGCTCTTCTGTACGAGAACATCATATTCTGTTTATTATCTTTGCTCTTTTGAACGATAACAAATCATATTTTGGATACGCTATCAAAGTGCATGATCTTTGTATTGATTAAGTTCATTTCATTTACTCTTTTACTTTCCTTTGCTCTATTCATTTGCCATTTTCTTTTTTTTCGCTTATACTGATATAAAACTGAGAAGTTCCTTTAAGCATATTGTTCCTTTTCCATGCATGACAAAATTTTCATCACATTGAATTTCTACTTGTAACCTGTGTATAACTGACAATGTTATAAAAGTATTGTATAGTTTGATGGAAAATTTAAATTCATTCTTTTTTGTTCTTATTTTTGGCACTTACCAAACAATTCATGCATTTTAGCGTGACACATATGCTGTCAACTTCCTTCACATAATAACATGACTCATATCAATATCGATGCAGGATGGACAATATGATGTTAGACAATAAAAGTATGGTGTCATGGCAGGCCTATTCTAAAAATAAGAATAAAAAATACTTTCAAGATATGGTGACATATTCAAATAAATAAACACATGATCATATAGTAGTTAAAGTTTGCTAATGATGAAGAGATTTGTAAAGATCGTGTACATGGTGGTTGATTGAGTAAAGGCGTTACATGGCGCCGATAAATGATAAAGATAGTTTGAAGGTAAAGATAATACTAGAGCTGATAATGGAGTTGGATGCAATGTTTAACATCAAAACATTAAAGGAAGAAATAAGAACCATTTTATATCCATAGTCAAGGTGTTGCATCCTGAGTCATTATGATTCAAATCCTCTAAATATTGTCTTCTAGACTTAGATGTTTCCTTGGCATATTCCATTAAGTAACAATTATTTTATAGAAAATGGAAATAGGATAAGAAACACTCTATCATATATTTGAACTAGGTAAATTTGTAAGTTCTTATGACCATCATATTTTTCGGAGTTCATGAATACTAAAATGATTAATTTAGAGAAATGCTTTTTATGTGCGAGAATTTGATGCAGATCATAAAGACCCATTACTGAAGAGACACTAGAATTTATAATGATTTAGTTTTGTTGACCTATGTCGACTTGGTGGTGGATTAATGTTTCAGTATCCTTTAGAATAACTCAATGGTAGTGATACATTTTATATAATGTGAGGTAGTAGACTCTAACTATAGGTAGCAATTAGAGGAAGCTGGGAAGCAGAAAAGAGCTTCAATATTCCCTTCTTTTGGATTTATATAAGCCCTACGAAGATATCATATAATAGTTGAATTATGCTGAATTTTTATGTCCCTTTAATGATCGAGATTTCTCTTTTTCGTTGATTGAGAGGTAAGATTGGTTTTCTGTAAGCCAAATGCTTGCTTTGGGATACAAATGTTTCATTGAAGTTTCCAGACCAAGCAACTTGTGTTGATAAACGGTTCTTTATTTTTATCATCTCCCTTGAATCATTGAGTGGGTTTTACCCAGTCGATCTCGGTTGAGCAGCTTCTCATTATGGTGGTTTATTCAAATTTTGCCCATTTGTTTAAGCCGTCAAGGGTTAATGGCTAGGATTTGAGAGCTCAATTGGGATGTGTGTGGCTCTGATATGATTACCCAAAGTATGATAACTCAGACCACCTTCATCTATTCCCCTTAACTTGTTCCCCCTAATTTTAGCGTCTTTTTAAACTTGATAACGAGGTTGAATTTGCATTCCTTTGTTAACCCAGCATGCCAAATTCATTTTGGTAATAACAAACTTATGAAAGATCTATCAAGTGATGGCATAATTTAGAATCATGTCAATCAAGTAATTAAGGTTGTGATCATTGAAAATAGGTGAGGTCATCTGTAGCTTATCAGAATTATTATTGAGTAATTTGGTTATATTTGAAGCTAACCAGCTAAAATATAGACTAATGGCTTATAACAATTTTTTTTTTTCAACTTCAAATTAAAATCTAAAATGAATTTCTATATATTATACTTGGTCAAAAATTATGTTGAAAAGATTATAAACTAGTTATATATTATCATAGGACTTAAACCTATGTTCATTGCATATAATTTAAGTAGATTCAATTGCTAGCAGACTTGTAAGCACCTGCTCACACGAGTTAGGTTGCGGTTTTACCATAATATGATATGACCTGAAATTGCTTCACTTTCAACCTGATTATCCCAAATTAGACCCGCATAAAATCTGTGCATAATAGTTGTGGTTCAAATTCGGGTCAATTTCGAGTCAAATTTGAATTTGGGTTTGCAGGTTTGTTTTAGGTCAATTTTGAGTTGGCGGGTTAATCTAACATAAGAAAATTAAACTATTGAGATTTCGGACTTGAACCCCTTGAATATTAATCGGGTCTTTCGAGTTGGGTTCGAGTCTAATTAGTTTCTTGAGTCAATATTTTACACCCCAAGGTTTCTTTCAGTATTTGGTAGAGAACTCTCTTTTTGTGTTGTGTTAGGTTGATGAATTGTAGTGAATTGTGAACAATTCACACCATTGAAGCTTCTAAATTTAATTTACAAAGTCTTTTCAAAAGCTTATTGTTCCACTACTTTCTGAAGGGATAACTTGTCAACAAAGAACTCCTTGAGCCAACATCTTAGAGCAAGTTTTCATATGGTTTTGATAGCATAACTTATACTGTAACGTTGTATTTTATTGTGTTTTCTTTATTTTATCTTGATTACACTGTAATGTTGTATTTTATTGTGTTTTCTTTATTTCATATTTTTTCTCTTGATTAACTTGGATGTTGTATTGTTTGACTTGAGTCTTGGAAGAATTTACTGTCACGTTTGAAATCATGTTGTTTGGTTTGTACATGCTAAAGGAAGGGAAGTGACAAATTCTCAATTAGCTTGTAGATCTGAGGGTTATTTTACTGATATCCTAAGTTGCTTGCCGGGCATGGATGTAATTTGAGTTGTTGTCAACTCACTCAAAACTCTCGTGTTTTTATCTTTTATGTAACCTACCTTGTGTGATTCTTTTGGTTACCTGCTTCTTATTTCAGCATTATATTCACTTATACAGTCACATTGTTCACACATTCGCAAATCAATTTATTTTCAAAGAAGAAAAAGCCTTAAAACTCCCAATTTCTGTGCCATAACTATCAGTTTTTCCTTGAACTCGTTCCACTTTCTTTATTTATTAAGATTCTGCCATCTTTCTTTTACTCATGAAAGTGAGTTTAGAGAATTTATTTATTTATTTGCGAAGTGGCAAAACCTTAAGTTGGCTACATCTTTATCAATCACTTTTATTAATGGATGTGGTTGTGGATGATATTTTGGCTTATATCAGCCAAAATGTCACTTTGACAATGATGGATGATGTAACTT